TGACTCGAAAGCTGGATCTGCCCTTGGCTCCATTACGCCTTCATTTCAAACTTCAAATACTCAATGAGCTCAATGTTAAGAAACAGTTATTGATTGTTTTTAGTGCTTAATCCTGAAGAAATTGACGTGAAAAGTTTGAGAAATATCACAGTTAGTTTGATACAAAGATAACAACCTTAATTAAATCATTCATGATGGTAACTCGCGCTCATTTTCAAAGCAGTTCTTATTAAGAAACTTTTGGTCTATATTTGACACGTGTTGTGCCTAAGACAGTGTCTAACAATGACGTGACTGATGATGCCCCTGGCGCCATTATACCGGGAAAGTTAGCAAGTTCATGAAATAAATGCCCTAATAAGATCTCAGTTGGGATTTATTAACAAGTCATATTTTAGCTATTCTGTCGCTTTTGTGGCGCGGTTTTAAAGTTGGCGCTAAATATTATTAAATTTTGACATTGTTTAGAAGGTTTATGGAGTTCGTTGCAAGAACTCGTCACTTACCGCATTTTCGTAATGAAAACTTGGGCCAAATCAAGCGAAGTCCATGATATTCCCAAGTCTGAGTGAGTGATATCCTTCCATTCGGCATATTTAACCAGGGAACAGGCTGGCAAAGGCACATCTGAAAGCAGAACGTTCCACGTTTAAGAATTTACAATAATTAATGCGTTTAAACGCGAATAGGAATTGGGGAAATATATCACACATAAGGATTGAATATAAGCCATAAATACATAACTCAACAAATATAATCTGGCCGAGTAACAAAGGCATACGGCAATACGGTTTGAAGACCATTCGGATGCCGGTATGAATGAACTGGCCATTTATCCAGCAATGCCATATATCATGATAATTATCAGGCAACGTTCAGAACTGGAAATTGGGGAGAAACTAATGATTAATTGGGTCGAATACATCGTCAACCGACGCATTTTTCCATCGAATAGTGGCAAAAACCCGACGTTTCCTAAATCGGCGTCAAAGATTATCATCACCTATTTATAGGTTTTGCTGCCTGTCTCTTGTGAGAATCGAAAATTTATTACACTAGCAAGGAACACATTTCTTTTTTCCAATCCAAACCAGGTTTTTAGGTTCTGCATTTGAAGAAATACAGTGCATTTTTTATTTGAATTTTAGAGTTTTCTTAGTCAAATTATGGTAAGTAAAGAATAATTGAATGGATTAACTAACTCTGGAACTGAATTGAGCAAGGAGCAGAAACTTGACCACTACTACATAAATCTTCGTACTGAGCGAAATCCGCAAAAATTTGGACCAATATTGTTTTATAAAAAAACTCCCAAAGAAGGTAACGACAAACGCAACCAGTTCATTGAAAACACGTTGGAAGCTTCAGGTTCAAATGTGAAATTCTCATTTTGTTCAACATTTTGCTAAGGGTGAGGATCAATTTTTTCAAAAAAATCAAAGTTTTTCAAAAAGCTTCGAGCTCTGCATCATGTTGAGAAAAGTAGGAATGGAACGAGCTCATTGAAAAGCATACTGGAAGCTCCACATCTGAAGAAAATCGATATTTTTTGTTCTTTTAGAGTTTTGAGCGGTCACAGTTTTTGACCGCTCTTACTGAAGACTCAAACACCTTATATATGCAGATCAGCCAACTTCTAAAGCCGGTAATAATCCATTGAGCTCAAAAAATATTTATTTGAAATTTTGAATTTTGGGCTAAATTTTCTGTCGATTTTTGCAAAAAAGTTTAAATTTCTCAAAAAGCCTCGACGCCTATATGATTTTCATCATGAGGAAAAGAGAAATGGAATGATCTGATTAAAACACACTCTGCAAGCTGCAGACCTGGAGAAATCGATATTTTTGGTTTATTTTGAGCCTTTTTTGAGCGGTCTCAATCTTCCACCGGCGAAATCTCCCTTATTACACATCTTAAATATTCAGCTCAGAGAGCTTAAAGGGCCAGGAACAATTCATTGAACTCAAAAAAATATGTACGTAAAATTTTGAATTTTAGGCGAAATTCTCTTAAAGGTGAGGGTTGATTTATGTAAAAAATAGAAATTTCTCAAAAAGCCTCGACGCCTATATTATTTTCATCATGAGGAAAAAAGGAATGGAATGATCTGATTAAACCACACGCTGCAAGCTTCTGATCTGAAAAAATCGATATTTTTGGTTTATTTTGAGCCTTTTTTGAGCGGTCACGATTTTCCACCGGCGACATTTCCCTTATTAAAGACTCCAACACCTTAAATATTCAGATAAGGGAGCTTAAAAGGCCGGGAACAATACATTGAACTCAAAAAAATATGTATGTGAAATTTTGAATTTTGGGCGAAGTTCTCCTAAGGGTGAGGGTCGATTTTTGTAAAAAAATTGAAATTTCTCAAAAAGCCTAGACGCCTACATGATTTTCATCATGGGGAAAAGAGGAATGGAACGCTCTGATTAAACCACACGCTGCAAGCTTCAGATCTGGAGAAATCGATATTTTTGGTTTATTTTGAACCTTTTGTGAGCGGTGACGATCTTCCACTGGCAAAATCTCCCTTATTAAAGACTCAAACACCTTAAATATCCAGCTCAGGGAGCTTCTAATGCCGGGAAAAATCCACAGAACTAACAAAATACGAATGTGAAATTTTGAATTTTGGCCGAAAATTTTCTAAGGGTGATTGTCGAGTTTTTGCTAAAAAACATAAAGTTTTGCAAAATATCTTGAATGTTACATAATTTTCATAAAAGTGAAACCAAGAATGCAGCAAACTCATTGAAAAGCATCTTGGAAGCTATAAGTCCAGAAAAATCGACATTTTTGGTGCATTTTAAGTGATTTTTGAGCGGTCACGATCTTTCACCGGCGAAATCTCCCTTATTAAAGACTCAAACATAATAAATATTCAGCTCAGGGAGCTTATAAGGCTGGGAGGAATCCATTGAGGTGAAAAATATCGATGTAGTGTTGAATTTTGGCCCAAATTTTCTTAAGGGTGAGGCAAAGTTTTTTCAAAAAAATGAAAGTTTATCAAAAAGCCTCTTTTTCAAAGTAGTGTACCTTTAAGAAGTGTTTAGAGACATTTGACGACAACCACTTACATTTTCCAATAAAACCGACTTGATAGTTCCAGTTGCAAGTTTTCATGGAGAAGCTTGATGAGCAAAACATATAATTCAAAAGGGAAATGGCTTTCCAATCTCTCCTCGCATCCTAAAAAGCTCCTCATAACTTTTAAGATGCCCGCCGTTAAATTTTCAAAGTTTGTCATTCAAAAACATTTTGACGAGGAAATGGGAGCCTGAAAGTGGATCGTAAAAGTATTTTACATCGCTGTTATGCTTTATTTCGACTCTTCAAGATAGGTTTATGGGTTGTGGTAAATAAGTTTGCATAAAAGGTTTTGTTCGCGTGCGGTTTCTATTATCTTCTATCTGCTCAATCAGATCAAATGAGGCACGAAAACCTTTGGAAGAACCAACCACTGTTTGGAGGGTGGATGATAATGGGCGCAAAAGTTGTTTGCCCTTCTGGCCTCATATTGTAAAAATGAAAAATCGTCTGCTTAAACGTGGACATAAAAATCATTAAGCGCTAAATGGTAATTACACTGACTAATTTTTGTAATTAATCCTATGATAAATTTCGAGCGGGCGAACAAATATTTAACTAACAAAGGCCGCTCTCTGTGTTCCTTGATGAAAGAGATTTATTGTGGGAATGCGTACGGCTCCGCTTATTGGATTAATGATAATGAAAGAAATTTCTTCTTATTAGGTTTGCCCTTCACATGGTTTGTTCCAAACTTGTTGCGATTGGAGATCCGCAATCTCTTTCTCGATCTGCCCCACTAATAATCTGATGTTCCCTAATTTAAATATAATTCTCCCCATTAAGAATGGGAAGCTGCTGGTGACAGTGGAGGAAAAAACGGGGAGAATATTGCAAAAATTCGTCACCATTGTGTCTTCGGTCTTTGTTCGCTTTTCTCTTATCTTTTTCAGAGCGTAATTAGCTGCGGTAATTTAGGGGACTGCTTCTCTTCAATAATAAACTTTTTTATTAGCTCGCCACTAAGCTGTGCTTATAACGAGACTAATATTGACACGAAATTTTCAACATTTTCAATTAACAACTTTTAATATAGTTGGTCATTTTCATATAGAAAGTTTTAGTAGGGAAGGGACTTTTCGATCTCGTTCAATATTATAAGACAAACTTCGTTCAAATATGAAATGGACAGTTTTATTATATTTGGGGACATTTTGCTTAATTTTATGTTAATTGCCAGACTGCGAGCGCGTTAACATTTTTCCAAGTTTTCCCTAGAAACTCTGTTAACTTTTCAACTTTGCAGCTTTTTACCGTTGGAAACTAATGAATCGGAACATAAATAAAATTGGAGTTAACACTGCATGCCCAGACTAAAGGAAAAAGCCCAGGAAACCTAAACTTTTCGGGTTTAATTGAATTGAATTAGTGCAGCTTTCAGTTGTTCCACGGCAATATCGGGCCTGGCTTTTATACCCCAGGTGTTGATTACTGCAACCGGGAAATGAATTTCCAGCTTCTATTACCCCCCGTATTAAATTCAATAGAAATAGATCGTTCCTGTTTTTTTGGAACCATTCCAAATTTGAATTTATCGCAGCTTTAGGAATTCGGTTTAATTGCGGTCGTTTTTTTCTCAAAACTGTCTGTCTTGAGTTTAATTAGCTGTTGCGATTGCAATTTCCCATAAAATTTCTCTTTTGGAAACCTACAAAGGACCAGATAGTAGCAAAACCGAATTAATTTGAAACTTACATCGTGGATAAACCTGTGACAATGTTACCTATTGGTAAGAGGAAAATAACGAAAAACAAAATAGTTTACATTGCCAGGAGTGCGAAGACGCTGAGGAATGTTCAGGAAATCGTAAACAGTTCGGCAATATAGAGAAAGTTTTTTAATCTTCGAAAGAGAGAGATTTGAAAAAGGACTAGAGAATGTGTATAGAGGAAATCGATTTTTAGGTAAAATGTGAAAAGTTCCACACCGAATCACATGCTTTCACGTAGGCATTTCCCGAGTGCGCAAACTTTGTCAAAGCGCTCATAAACTGAAAATATTTATTCAAGGGAAAGATAGAGCGAAAGTCGAATATCAAAGAGACAACCGACTTCTGAATTAAAAGCATCCAGTCCTAATACTATTGAAATTAATAATGTTTGCTTTGCATAACGAACTTTCCTTGCAAGACTCGATTCAGTCAAAGACCGAGTGGGGTTTTCGAGAAAACATTTCGAATTTTCCGTTAAGCCACTTGAATGGTATCCCATTGAAGCCAAATTAATTTTAACGTGGCTTTTGCTGTTGAGGAACGGCGAGCTTAAGATTACATTTATGGTAACATACAAGACTTCGGATATAATGAATAAATATTCAAACTAGATCTAATTCAGGGAACCAGAGAAGGTTTGTTTTCATTTGCATTCATTTGAAACTTTCCGCTTTTCCGGCGAATAGGTGCAATATACCGTAATATTTACCGTAATATTTACTATGTTTTCACCTTCAGATGTACGCATTTCACGCAACACTTGGCCTTTTCCAATGCTTTCTCTTATCGTTCTGGAACAACTAAAACTTTTTCCCATTTAATCCAA